GGGGCTGAGGAGGGCCCCTGGGCTGTGGTCCTGGCCACGCTCTGAGCTAGAACCCTGCGCACCGCGGGGGAGCGCCGGCCCCGCGTCTGTGTGTTGCTTTATTAGTGTTTTCCTTTTTCTTTTTTTCCTACGTGTGGGTTTTCTCTTGGGGCTGTTTCTTAGAATTCCTGTAATAAAGACTCGGTGTTCTCTTGGTGCTCTGATGTGGCCGGCCCCGTGGGCTGCACCCTCTCTTCCCGTCCCGCAGGGTTTGGCCCCGGGAGCGTCGCACCGGTGCGCCATCTGCCTGGGCCCCATTAAGCCGCAGCGTCTGTAAGAACTGAAGGCTCAGACCCCTGCATTGCTCTCACGAGGTGACACTTGCCGCCACCTTGGCGCCCGCTGGCTTTGCTCTGCGAGGCGGCCTCCCCCGCCCTCCCCAACCCGGGAAAGCAACCCGCTGGCTGATGGGCGAAGGAAACCGACAGGACAGCCAGCCCCCAGCCACAGCGCCAGCTTGTCACCTCCTTAGATAAACAGAACGCTGGAGAAAAGGCCGGATTGGAGGCTGCAGAGATGTTCAGTCTCAGACTTCAAAGGGCCCGCAGACATCTTCCAGGTCAAATACCTCGTTTCCCCCACTCCCAGCTCAGCTGGGCCAGCTCCCACGCCAGGGGGCTCACAGCCAAAGAGGAGGCGGGTGCCTTTCCAGACTGGGCAGTTCTTAGCGTTAAAAAGTTCTTCCCGTGTGGAGCCCAAAGGCCTCCCGTGGCTTCCACCTGCACATCTTGTTTCTGGGCCCCTGTCACCCAGGCCAAGGCCACCACTCTGCCCCGCCCCCATGCCATGTTTGAGCTGAGTGACCCCACCCTCTCCTTCGGGACAAACCACGCAGGCTCCTCCCCTCCCTACCAAGAGGTTCTCCCCCGCCCTCCTAGACGGAGGTGGGCTTGTAGATTGGTGTACCCGGGGCAGCTGGTGACGCGCCAAACCTGCTGTTTGGGCCTGGACAAACCAAGATTACCCTCTAACCTCAGCTCTGTACATTCGTTGCTGATAGCCCGGGACCAGTGTAATCCCTGCAACAAAGCCGCAGCACTTAGGACCGTATTAGAAGTGACAGTTCTCAGTCCTACCGAACCAGCAACTCTGGGCGTGCAGCCCAGCAACCGGTGGTGCAATGTACACAAAGTTTGGGAGCCATGGTGCCAGGCCAGGACATAATACTGACTTCACAATAGAATTGCCTGAGTAAAAAAAAAAAAAAAATTCCTGATGCTCAGTACCCCAGACCAGTGAAATCAACAACCATGGGTTAGTTACTTTGAAAACTCCTCCAGCAATTCAAGTTGGCCATCAAATTGGAGGACCGGCGCACTAAGCAGTCCGTTGGGTGTCTCGTGTTAGCCCAATTAACCTAGCCCGTAAATGGCCGCTTTACAGATGACGTAATGACAGTTCAGAAAGGTTAAATAACTTACCCAGTATCTGTAAATGGCCGCTTTACAGTTGACATGACAGTTCAGAAAGGTTAAATAACTTACCCAGTATCCCAGAGCTAGCGAGGTGGGAAGCAGATTCCTAAGCCTGGCTCCATCCCCTATACCTCTGCTGTTCCAAGTGTGCCCTGTGGGCCAGCAGCACTGACGTCACTGGGAGCTGTTAGACACGCATGTAGTCCGGCCCCACTCCAGAGCGCCTGAACCTGAACCTGGGGTGGACACTCACAAGCCCTCCCCAGGCTCTGCTACATGCTCACGTGTGAGGACCATAGTTCTACAGCCTCACCCTCAGAGCTTGGTCTGTGGACCGGCAGGGTCAGTATCATCGGGGGCTTGTTAGAAACACAGAATTGCAGAGTCTACCCCGACCCTACTGAACCAGCATGTGCATTTCAACAAAAATTCACCAGGTGACTTGCACGTGCATCAAGACTTGAGAAACACTATTCTAGAACACTGGTCCTCTGACGCGTGGGGCCCATTCCCAGAGACTCTGGTTTAATTGCTTTGGGATTTAGCCCGGGAATCAGATTGGAAGAGCTCCTCAGGTGATATGAATATGCGGCAAAGTTTGAGAACCACTCACCATTTGCCTATTAGCGTAGATGAGAGTGAGAGTGATTGGAACCACAGAGGAGGGCGTGGGGAGAGAAGGCAAAGAAAGCGCACGGAATCCAACAGGAGTGCAGGAGAGGAAGCCTCTGTCCATGACGGGCAGTGCGTAAAGGTCCCAGGAAGGAGTTGGGCTGGGCCCGATGACCACCCAGCCATCTGCCCTCACACACCATGCTCACCGGCAAATCCCGGCTCGTGGTAAGCACAAGGTGATACTCACCGATTTATCTCCTGCAAAAATGCTGAGCCAGGCTATCTGGAGTCTGGTCCAGCCGGTGCCCCTCCCCTTTTGTATGCTTTGCTGTCCCTAGGGTTCAGCCCCAACTTGAGGGGAGGTCATGAAATCTGGAGAACACTGTGCCCAGAAAACCTGGCCTGGTGGTTATTACCAGGTTGGGGTCTCAATCCTCCCTCTGTTCTTTGAGGCACCTGGTAGAGGGTTGAGGTTGGAGGAAAGACAGGAGAACTTGGTTGGTAAAAGGCAGGCAAAGTGTGGGATGATGAAGATGAGAGCTGATTACGAGTGCTTACTGTATGCTAGTCACTTTTCTGGTGCTTTAAATGTTATTTTGCCTAATCCCCATCGATTATATAAAAATCAACGGTATTACTCCCATTTCACAGATCAGGAAACTGAGTCACAGAAATGTTAACATCATCCTTAGTAAGTGGTAGTACCTGGATTTGAACCCTGGCAGCTGAACTCTAGAACTGGTGCCTAAACACTAAACTATATATTGGGGTGGGGAACAGGTGGTAAGATCTAGAATGCCTGCATAGGTGCAATTTGTGGAGCACAGAAAGGTCCCCCTGTTTAAACATATCTCCATAGTGATACATGACCCTAGTGTGGCCAGAACTCACCTATTAATCATTCTTTATCTGGTTTAGAAAACAATCTCTTATCATTTCCATTAAATGGAAAATATGCTACTGAAAGAGAAGCACATGAACTCCTTTTGCCCTTTTATCACAGTATAGATTAATTTGTTGGATTAGCTGGCTGGGGCAGCTGGAGGAAAATTTGGAAATTTCTGATGAGTGAGGCAGGAGAGGGGGTAGAGGGGACTATGTAAATCTACTGCCACCTGGTGGTTATCTCTCACAAGTGTCAGTCGCTGGCCACTGAGAGGCCAAACATCATTTTGTTCAGAAGGAAGACGTGTGTACCTCTTTGGCCTGAGCCAAACAAAGGGAATTTACTCTGTCCACAAGTCTTATATTTTGTAAAATTTGCAAAACAAAGATTTTTTTTTCTTAAAAGGGCCACTAAGATTATACAGGCTTCAGGCCCCACATAACCAGCATTTCCCATGCTTGTCATTTCTGGAGAGTAGATGGTCACAATTCCTTATCAGGTCAAAAGAATTATTCCAGGGACTCCGAACTAAAGAGCTGGGAAGCTCAGTACAAACTCAGCACGAGTCTGCCTTGCTATTACCTTGCTTTTTAAAGTGTGGTCTGTGGATATGGTCACCATTGACATTAACCTTAGAAATGCCAGGGTTCAGCTTGGCCCGTGTGGCTCAGTTGGTTGAGCGTGGTCTCATGCACCAGGAGGTCGCAGGTCTGGGTTCGGGCTTGATCCCCTGTAGTGGGTGTGTAGGAGGCAGCTGGTAGAAGTTTCTCGTCAATATATTTCTCTCTCTCTCTCTCTCTCTCTCTCTCTCTCCCTCTTCCTCTCTTCCTCTCTCCCTCTCCTCCCTTTCTCTCTCTGAAATCAATAAAAACATATATTTTTTAAAAAGGAGAAATGCAGAGTTTCAGTCCTTACTCCAGACCCACTGAGTCAGAATCTGTGTTTCCCAGGAGGTTCAGGTGCACATTAAAGATTGAGTTGCTTTGCCTTTCACAAGAAAAGAAGGGCCCACACCACACCAGCCCAGAACTGCCTGCCTTCAAGGGTCCCCACCCGCTGGGAAAACTCCAGCAGAGTGATTTCAATAATAAAAGGCCAGAGTGTTGCTCCAGCTGGAGTACTCCAGCTCCTGTTTCCTTGGCTACAAAAGGAGTCACAAGCATACAGACCTCCCAGGGCAGGTGTAGGTCTCTACCGTGCTTCTCTCTCCTCTGCCTGAACTCATTCTCCTTGGGGGCAGAGCTGCTGTTTGCTGAAGAAATGAATGGGCAGCTATGTGAAAATGTCTTGCAAATTGCTAGGTGTGATTTAATTGTAGGTGTGATTCAATAAATTGTGATTTATTGCTCCTTAAGCATCATAGAATGGTCAGAAATCATTATCACTCCTATTGAGCAGTTACTACGCAGCAGCACTGCTCTAAGCACTCTGCAGGTGTTAACCCACTGACTCCTCACACCAAGGCTATATGGTGGGTGCTATGGTTATGCCCATTTTACAGATGACAAAGCTGAGGCCCAGAGGTTTGTAAAAGAGATCTGTCCCTCAGTGAGGCACAGAGGACAGCCAGAACTGGAAATGCCCACGTGCAGGGTTATTTCCATTCAATCACAGCTTTGGGTAAGACCTCCAGGAAAGAGGGCTGGATGTGAGTAGGCAGCAAGGGAGAACTGAGCTGGCTGCATCTTCATTTATTCTAATTTAGCTTTATTCCGTCCATGCTGTTCGCTAGAAAACACTTTCGAAGAGCCAGCTCTGAGCCAAGCACCAGACTGGGTGTGAGAGGCAGAGATAAGAGCCCTGATTCCTGCCCTCAGAGAGGCCCAGTTAGATAGACACAGACAAGTAAACAGTTACAACACCAAATTGTGAGAGAGATAAGCTGAGGGAGGGAGGGAGCAGGTCCTGGGGACACAGTCACCCAGTCTGGCTGAGTGTCTGCAGCCTGGAGGTGAAATACCTTCCGAATACCTTCCTCCTTGCCCGAATCCTCCTGCTCCTTGATTGTGTGTGGAATACATATGATCGCTTTCCTCTTCTTTGAAAGCAACAGCTGATTCCCCCTGATCCTGGCTTTCTGCCAAAGGCGAGTAGCAATATTAATGATTTCATCAATATGCTGGGATTTCCACTTACCAAAGCTGTTCTGCTATTGGGGATGCTCTTCCTCTTTTTGTCAGACTAACTCCCGGGGGCATTATTTACAAAGATGTGGGCAGAGTGTAGGGAAGCCACAAGGGATGGCCTAGACTCCAAGGCTAGTAACGGAGGGGCACAGTTTGCTGTGTCTAAGTCTGAAGGGACAAGGTAGGAACAGTGACTGGAACCTGGTGAGAGAGAGCTGTGTGAAGAGGCTGTGTGGTGGGAGCTGGGACTTTGTGTTCCTGGACTGTGCGGGGAGGGGTTCAGGGGAGCAGATTTTGGCTTCACTCTCCTGCTTCCTTCCAGTCCCCTGCCAAAGCCTCCCACTGGCAGTACCAACTGGAACTCAACTAGAAACAGAGGGCAAGGGGCTGGGCGGGGGGTACAGTCCATACAGGTCAGCCTCCTGGGACACAGGACAGGGAGAAGGGTACAGCGTACCTGTGGATCTAGGTGGGCGAATGAACTTACCAATGTTATGGGCTTTCCAACGTTATGGGCTGAATGGCGCCCCTCAAAAATTCTTATGTTGAAGTCCTTGCCCCCAGCACCTCAGGGTGTAACTGTGTTTGGAGACAGAATCTTTCGAGAAAATTCTTGCTTTGAAATTCCTCCCCTATTGAGGGTTTGGGCCTTTGGGTTTCCTCCCTGAACGTGGAATAAACCCTTCTAATTCCTTAGCGGCGGTAACTGCAGTGGCCTCTGGGGGGCAGGCCTGAGTGGGAGAAGGGAAGTGTGTCTGTGGCCTGGGCTGACAACTAGCTCTGATTTGGACGGAATTAGAAACTTGTTATGAGGCCTGGGAAGACTATATTTAGCTGGGAGTGTGCTTGCTCTCCCTCCAGCACAGTCTTCTAGACCCTCCTAGGACTGGGAGACGGGAGCCTCCACACTTACCCCAGTGGCCAGAGCTGTGTTCTCTCTTCTCTGTTCCCAAGGCCCCTGAGGCAGCAGTGACACACACCTCTCAGTTTAGTCCTGGGCCTCAGATCACCCTGTCCCCTGCTATTGGGGTCAGTTTTGCCTGACCTCCTCTGTCAACCAGTCTCCAGCTTGAGGCCTCGCTGAGGAGGCAGTGTGGAGTTTTGGGCAGGGCCCGGGCTGGGCTGGAAGCCTGGCTGTGTCAGTTACCTATCAGACCAGTGACTGAACTCCCTAAGGCTTCACTTTCTCATCTATAAATAAGATAATAATAGCCACCTAGTGGGTGGGTGTGTGGATTCAGTAAGATAACACAACAAGCACTAACTACTCATCACACATTCCTTTCCTCCTCCTCGCCAGCCTCCCACAGAGCAGGGAGACTGGGAGAACTGGGTGCTCTTTCTTGCTGACAAAGATGATGGACTCCTGGGAGACATCTTATGTGTATGTGACCCAAAAGTTCAAATATAAATACAAACTCTTTACAGGTCAAGCTCTGAGTGATACATAAAGAAAAAAATTCTCCCGTCCCCTCCTGCAATTTTACCAGGAGTAAAATTCACAGCCTTCTGTGACCTTCCACAAGTTTCTATCCTCCTACAAACACATACACTGCAAAGTGTTTTCTTTTGTCTTTTAACAGGTTAGGGTCCCCCTAAAGGTGTTTCTCTGAAACTTCCTTTTTCATTTAACTGTAAGTCATGGGCATTCATCTAGGTCAGCAGTTCTCAACCTGTGGGTCGCGACCCCTTTGGGGGTCGAAGGACCCTTTCACAGGGGTCGCCTAAGACCATCGGAAAACACATATATAATTATATATTGTTTTTGTGATTAATCACTATGCTTTAATTATGTTCAATTTGTAACAATGAAAATACATCCTGCATGTCAGATATTTACATTACGATTGATAACAGTAGCAAAATTACAGTTATGAAGTAGCAACGACAATAATTTTATGGTTGGGGGTCACCACAACATGAGGAACTGTATTAAAGGGTCGCGGCATTAGGAAGGTTGAGAACCACTGATCTAGGTAAATATATATGAAACTAAGTCGTTTAATAGTTGCATAGGATCCATAGAATATATGAAGCATGATTTTCCAGCCATTTCCCATTAGCCACACTTATTATTATTGCCACCACAAACAATGCTGCAAATGACAATCCCTGCACAAATACCCCCATGAAATTGTGCTTTAATTTCTATGGGGGTGCTGTATCCAAAGTATGGTTATTGGGCCAAAAGATAACCCTGACAGGTGACTTTCCCCAGGTTATTCATTTTCCTTCTTGGAATTTGTTCCGCACACTCTTACTTTTCAAGCTCCAAGGAGGAGCTAGCAGCAACACCTTCTCCAGGGCGGAAACATTAGCTGCTGGCAGCATCCTCATGAGCACGGATGCAGGTGGCGCCCCGGGAACCAAGGGTTCAGTGGGAAGCGCTAACCAGCAGGAGCCGGAGGCTTGGGCTCCATGTGACCCTAGGCAAGTGCCTCCCCTCCCCGGGCCTCGGTTTCCTTTTGCGTCGTCTGTGACTCCAACCAAAACAGGCACAGGTGGGGCCTGGTGCTGGAGACCTCCTGGGGGCTCCCCTAGGACGTGGCTGAGTCTCCCACCTCCCTCCTCTCACCGGCCCACTGCGCGGCCCCACCTAAGAGGAGTGGCCTCCCTGAGGCCAGACAGGCTAAAACAGCCACTGCAGTGATTCTCAACCTTCTGGCCCTTTAAATACAGTTCCTCAGGTTGTGACCCAACCATAAAATTATTTTCGTTGCTACTTCATAACTGCAATGTTGCTACTATTATGAATTGTAATGTAAATATCTGATATGCAGGATGGCCTTAGGCGACCCCTGTGAAAGGGTCGTTCGACCGCCAAAGGTGTCGCGACCCACAGGTTGAGAACCGCTGCACTAGCGTTAATCCCTCCCCCTAGATCGGTCATTTACAGCTTCTGCCCGGCTTTGGCTCGCTCCCTCCCTTTCGGCTCGGCTCCCGTCTGAACCCGGCAAGTAGCCGAGAAGCGCGCTCTTTCGGCTCGGCTGTCGAGTGCTCCCGTCTGAACCCGGCAAGTAGCCGAGAAGCGCGCCAGTTCGGTCCATCCTTTGCTTCTGCCTGGCTCCGCCCTCCCGGCGGGGCCGCGGCGTCAGCCCTAGATCCGCCGCTCGGCCAGCAGCTTCGCCTCCTTTGCCGGCGGCTGGCGCTTCCGGTTCCGGTAGCCGCTAACCGCTAACCGCGCTGGGTCGGAGGCTCCAGCCATGGCAGGCAGCCTG